TATATATATATATATATATATATATATATATATATATATATATATATATATATATATATATGAGAACAGTGCCTTTTATATCATTGAGCTATTTTGATGTAATAGTCGATGTCCGATATTTAACTTTATCGCTAATATCGGCCGATACCAATACCATGTCAATAATATCGTGCATCCCCAATATAAAGTTTTATTCTTGTTTTTCAGAGTTACTTACCAAAGCCGTTACCTGCCATAGCACCAAGATATCCCGTTGCTCCATCACCATAACCTGCCAAGACATTAATTGAAATGTTTGTAAGGAATTCTGTTTAGTTTTGTTTCAGAAAAACAACATTTTGCTTTGTACAAATATGAGGATTGATTTCCTCCAATTTTAGAACTACAAAAATTATTTTCCAATCCCCACAAGTTAGAAAAGCAAAGGATTTTAGTTTGCACGAATTGTGCACTTGGTGTTTAAAACCATAGTTTTTTTACTGAAAGGGTTAAATCTTTGAAGAAAACATTGGACATTGGAGAAACTTGGACTCAGCTCGTTGCTCTGTAGGCAAATAATTAGTTTAAAAGGCAAATTAGAAGGAGCTTCTGAGTCTCTGTTGTCCTCACCTGAGTTCAAGATCTGAATAAAATTTACTCAGGTGCATCTAAGAGGTTTCTGACAGACACATGAATTTTCTTCTCATGGTTTCCCCAAAAGACCAATTTAAATCCAAAGTTTAAACAGAAATTTAGGCTTCGTCCCAGTTTGGAAGACGAGTAACAAAATAAGGTTAACAATAAACAATCTCACCAACTGGTTTCTCTGGAACCGCTTGGGGATACCCACCCTGTCCGAGTGCAGCGGCAGCTAAAGTATAGATTTAGAGAGAGAAGGTATGAAGCTAATAAATGCAATTAAAAAATGTGCACTCATCCTCGTGTTGAAAACAAAGAGAGGGAAAACCTAAAGACTTACCGCCCAGTTTACCAGCTACACCTCCCAGGTAGGCTCCCTGTCCAAGACCTGCGAGCAAAAATGGTAAATCTTTACTACGAGAGCTTTGAACCTACAATGATGCATCCATCAACTGAAAAATAAGATTAATTTTTAACGTGACACCAAACATCACCTGCTCCGTAGCCTCCAGCTCCCATGCTCGCTCCCAGGTAGTTTCCTGCCCCGCCCATATAACCTGTGGAAAAATCCAACCCAGACTGAGCAATTCACTGTTTTAACTGGAAAATCATGACAACATGTCTCCTCATTCACTAGGTTTTGTTCATGAAGATGCCATAGATGATGCAAATGTATCTGAGGCATGAAACTGTCTGTAGACGTGTCCATGAGGAGCTGGTTCCTATCTCCAGCTGTGACTGGGCCAGGGGCTTAGACAACCTGGGCAGGTTACCAGTCCATCACAGAACCACAGAAAGTCTAACAAGTCTCCCTCTACACGCCAGCACACTCCATCACCTTCTGGGGGATCCCAAGGCATTCCCAGACCAGAGAGGATATATACATATTCCCTCTGGTGAGTTCTGGGTCTCCTACCAGTGGGATGTACCTGGAAAACCTCCAAAGGGAGGTGCCCAGGAGGCATTCTAATCACCTCAGCTTACTCCTTTTGAAGCAGAGGTGGCTCTGTTCTGAGATACCCATGGATGATGGAGCTCTTCACCTTTCCCTGAAGGCTGAGCCCGGCCATCCTATGTAGGAAGCTCATTTCAGCTGCTTGAATTCAAGATCTCGTTTTTATTAGGTCATGAGCCATACCTTGTGACCAGGTGAGGGTTACATAAACAGATCAGTAAACTGAGAGTTTTGCCATTCATCTCAGCTCCCTCTTCACCACGACAAACTGGACCAATGACCTCATTACTAAGGCACAGATCCGTCGATCCATCTCCCACTCCAACTTGTCATCATCCATGAACAAGACACCCAGATAGTTGGACTGCTTCGTTTGCGTTAAAGACTCACTGCAACGCAGGGAGCATTCCACCTTTTTAAAGTTCTCAACTAGAACCCACAGATCTTCACACAGAAAGGAGTTTGCCCAACCAGGAGTCAAACCCTTTTGCTGTGAAGCAACAGAGCCAACCCTCTGTACCATCATGCGGCAACGGACAGTAACTTACATGAACAGTAGTTTTCCTAAAAATTCTCAAAATCAAACGTTCAACCAACTTAAATATGACACTTTGTGAGTCATATTTAACACACGTCACTGAATCATATTCATCCTAAGTTTATTTCCTTTAACTCTGTGGTTTGCGTTTTCTGGCCTCGGTAGCCTGATCAGTAATCAGGAGATCATAAGACGCTTCAAATTTAAACAAAGGATCTTTTTTTGCGATACAAAGAGCAATAATCCTACACAGCATATCATCCTAACATTTTGATCCCGTTATTCAGCCTGACAAGTGCAATCTACAACGAGGACAAACTTAACCGCAGGCAGGGTTTTTACATTTATATGGTATCGTGTGTAGACTTTGCTCTGAAACTAAAAGGGTCATAAAAAAACTGCAATGAAACAAACAAACAAAAGAAAAACACTGAGTGTGAAGAACGGATGAAAGTAAAAATGAGTAAAAAGTTCAAATAAAAAGTAAAACCATGAAGCATATTTAGGGGCTGAACTCAAGGTGCAATAACTAAAAAATAAAAAAGACAAACGTAGTACGTAAAAGATGTTTATGATCAATGAGGTGAAGTTTTTTCTCTTACTTGCGGCCTGTGTATTCCCCCCCACCTGCCCTGGGATATGGAGAGGTTTGGACGGTCTTGTCTTTGGTTCAGCTTGAGAAAAATATTTTGTTTCCTCTTCAGTAAAGTCTTTAGCTTCTTGGTTTTCAGCTATGGCAATGCCCAAGCTTTGGGTCGTGCTTGCACCACGGTTCACCGGATCAAAGTACCGGTCTCTGATTTTGGGTCTGAGTTTGTCTTTGGCTCCAGGTCTTTCCGCATCCTGCCTGTTTGCCAGACCAAATGAAGAATCCCTGGTTTCTTGCTGCTGTACCGTGGAGAAAAAATGACTTCCGGGGTCTTGACCTTGTGAAGGAGGATGGTAGGTTCTCTCCTGTGATGGTGGATTGGTGCGTCCGAGATATTTGCCCGTCTTGCCCATATGCAGCTGCGGTACTAAACCTTGAGTTCTTTGAGTTCCTGATCCCAAAAGCCCAAATCGATTGACGTCCAACGACTCTGGTTCAGCAGCAGACTCACAGTCTTCAGCATTTTGTTTTTCTGGGATGAATGGATTCCTGGGACCATAAACCTGAGGAGAACCCAGATATCTGACGTCTTTATCAACAGGAAGTTGTCTTCCTATACCTGCTGCTGCCAGCGTGGCGCCAAGACCCATTGTCCCCTTTACTTTAAAGCCATCATGCTTGTTATGCTTGCCCCCAGGTATTTGTGAAACACCATCTCCAAGTGGTTCATTCTGATTAATAAGGGGCATTGTGGGTCTCAGACTTGACCCCCGAAGGACTGGATTAAGGTTTCTGACCTCAATTCTTGCATGTATTTGAGGAACAGTGGGGCCGAGTACACTGGCTCTCCTCTCGATGGGCGTTTCCGGTCCAACCGTTCTGTCATGCATTCCGTACGCGTGACTTTCAGCTCTGCTCTTTTTTCTTTTAAGATCTTCAAGAGCTTGGCCCAGACCGGCCACCTCAGGTCCACCCAAATCTGCCGCAGACGCACCTGGCAGAGAAATATCATCATGCACTCTCAACTTCCTGCAGGCTCAGAGACAACAGTGTTTCTCAGTCGGCATTAGTGACGTGTGCAACAGAGCCCTTCACGCAAAGAATATCTGGGAGTCTATTAAAAACCAAACAAGTGACTCTCGTATGGTATACCAAACCCTTCAGGGTCTGACGTTAGTCCAGTTTAAAGGGGCAGAATTACAGCTCCAATTAAGAAACAAAAAACCGTGGAGCGCTTGCTCAGTCAGTACAAACAAACACAAAACGGCAGCATGAACTGTGCCAGTGCCATTAAACACAAACACGACAAAGACGGCACACTGGAAAAAGGCTTTTTTAGTCATGATGATTAAAATAAATGAGCACCGTTAATCGCAAAGTTCTTCTCTGGTTGTATCTTTTTGTTGAATACACACCTAACAAAGACCACAAGCAGCTCTCATCGTAATTTTAAATGCATCTTCCTTGGACTTGGAGCCAAAGGGATCATTTAATAAAATGAAATGAACAAAGACACGTTGATGATTTAAAACGTCAACTTACGAGCAATAAACCCAAGTTGCAAATAATCTATCCATGCAAACATTGGAGACAAAGATTAAAGAAAAGGTTTTGATTCCAGTGAGTTGGAATATAAGTTACATCCCAGCGTCCTGAGGTAAGACGTGGAGTTACACTCACCTGGTCGGACTGCAGGATACCCAACGCCTGCAAACGTCCCATAACCTGGTGAGGAGATAAAGAACTGTTTTAAAACAGACGAACGCTGTCCGAACAAGGATGGATAAGATTAGGAATTAGATCATCAGAGGTACAGCACAGGTTGAACCACTGGGAGATGAAGTTAGAGAGACCAGACTGAGATGGTTTGGACATGTCCAGAGGAGGGACAGTGGGTATACTGGTAGAAGAATATTAGAAATGCAGCTGCCAGGAAAAAGACAAAGTTGTATGAAAATAAATTAGTCTCAAAAGTAGTCACACAAGCATAAACAGTTTTTCTAATGTACAAATTTCAATACACACAAGTATTCTGCGCAGACTAATTGTCACATGCACATGTACAAACCACCTGCCGTGGAAGAATCCATCATCACGAGCACACGGACCAGCTTGCTTATGACTTTTGAATCTTTCTTACCGCTCCAAATTCACAAAGGTGATGCTGCGTTCAAGGCTGGTGAAAAGCTGGGACATCTGAGCCTTCCCAAACTTACTGGTATTGGGAAAAGACTAATTTCTAACTTGGCACAGGAGCTCACAACACCTATATTAAAACATGCATGCACACTTAGTTTTTTTTTTAATATCTCATTTCACGCTTGTGTGACTACTTTTGAGACTGTTTTATCTTCATAAGGAGGAGATATACAGATGTAGTCAGAGAGGACATGGAGGTAGTTGAAGTGAAAGAGTGAGATGGAATTGGAGGACTGTGGGGATCCTTGAAGAAGGAACAGCCAAAAGAAGAAGAAACAGACGGATTTGGGTAAATGATGGAAGAAGTTGTCCATTTTTATTTACCTGGAAGAGCGCCGAGACCAGCACCGTAAACTGCAAAATCACAGAGTGAACAGTTAATTTTTCTTTAAAAGGCGCATCACATGTATAAATGGGTCATTTTCAGTTTAATATCTGTGAGAAAACTTTAAAAAAGATCGTTCTGCTTGACCTAAGTTAGAAACTTCAAAGAGAAAATGGCTCTTGAATAAAGGTTCGGCTCAGGTTTCAGTGGCGTAATGCCTCCCATGAAACAGTTTTCTGACAAGCTTTGCACGCAGCTTTGACTGGCAATAATTTAATTAAAAAAGAAAGACACAATAGGCTGAGTGAGCGGCTGCTTTAAACACAAACTTGACCCAAATACCTTCGTATCAAGTTTTGTGTTGTAAAATGTAGTGGGTCTATGTGCCACTAATGGTTTGAAAGAAAACAAACCTAAACTCAACCTCTACAATTTCTGTTTTTATCTCTGCTTTGACAAATTTGCTCCACTTTGTGTTTATATAGGTTCATGTACAAAATTTAAATCTATATTTAACATCTTATCTTATTTCTTGGTCTTACCTCGTTTCCCTGCCTGGCCCAAGCCCATTCCCAGTCCATTTGTAAGTCCTGGTCCCAGTCCCATTCCTGTGCCCAGACTGGCACCTGAAACCACAAAAATGAGCTTTAAAATGTGTCCAAGAAGAAGACAAAAACAAAAAACCGAAGAGGCTCTGGAGGTAACGTTACCATAGGCTCCCTGGGCTCCATATCCGCCCTGCTTCAGGCCCCCTCTGGATCCCAAACCAAGAGATCTGTAGCCGCCTGGAAAAACAACAAAAACAAAACTACTTTTACACGACGGGTTCCAGATACTGTCAAGGGTTCAGTACATAAAACAGCCTGGTACTTACCAGGTACCTGGTCTCTAATGAGGACATACCAGGACCCAAAAAAGACTTACCATAAATTGTCCCTAACAGGGGTGTACATGGTCCCTATTGGGGACATACCTGGACCCAAAAATGACTTAAGTGGTCCCTAACAGGATGTACCAGTCTCTAATGGGGACATACTTTATTTTTACCAGGAGCGTATCAAGTAAGAACCAGACGTGTATTTGGTCCTTAACAGATACATCCCTGGTCTCTACTGGGGACATACCTAGACCCAAAAAAGACTTAAATGGTCTCTAACGGGGATGTACCTGGTCCTTAATTGGGACATACCTTGTTTTTACCAAGCACATACCAAGTTAGACCCTGGCATGTACTTGGGTTCCTAACAGGGACATACCTGGTCCCTAATGGGAACATACCCGTTTTTTTTTTTTTTTTACCAGGTCCAAACTCAGTATGCACCAGGTACAAACCTGTTTTTAAGGAGTGAGTTTCTGGTACTTATTGAGTATGCACTTGGTCTTTAAGAAGTATGTACTTGGTACTTACAGGATATGTATATGGTAGTTATCGGGTATGTGTCAAGTACAAATTATGGGTTTGTACTTGGTAGATAACAGGTATTTAGCTAGTCTTTAATGGGAAAGTACCTGCTACTCATCAGGGAATGTACTTGATTCTTAACAAAAATGTACAGGGTACTTACAGGGTACGTATATGGTAGTTATGGGTTATGTATCAAGTACAAACTATGGGTTTGTACTTGGTAGATAACGGGCACATATTTAGTTCTTAATGGGAAAGTGCCTCCTAGGGATAAGGGAATGTACTTGGTTTTTAACAAATATGTACCGGGTCTTTATCCGTTAGTACCTGGTACATACTGGTAATGTACCTGGACCTTAGCAGGTATAAACCTGATACTTAATGGGTAAATGTGCAATTGGTACTCGGTACATACTGGGTATGTATCGGGAATTTAGTGCATATGCACCAGGTACATCTTGGGTACATGTACATACCCAACATGTACCTGGTGTGTACCTTGTAAGTTTGTTTTTCACAATACGTCTCAGTTCCAGTAGGTACCAGTATCTAGCCAGTAAAAGTCTCTGGCTGTATTTTGTATTACAACTTATATTGCTAATGTTCTTTTGATCTTTATCACAGTAATGGTGAGACAACCGGCAAGAATTAATTTAGCTGAAGAGATTGTTTTTGTTTTGCTTCTGGCTTTAACACAGATTTTATCATATTTTATTGCAGATAATTTCGTGTTGCTTACCAACGCCGAGGTGAGCTGCAGGATACCGTCCCACTGAGGTAAAAAATGGAAAAAAGATTAAACTACAAACACGACTTTTTGTGTAATTATTAGTTCACGAGTTAAATAAAGTTTAACGTACTTCCAGTTTTCATGGCTTTTGTGTTATATCTGCTGCCCAGTGCTCCAAGGGCTCCAGTAACTGACGAAAAGTAAAGGATTTGGTTCACCAACATATTCAGCCGTGTTCTTAACATTTCAAATTAATTTAAAATAGACAAAAAAAGAAACAAAACTTCTCTTGTAACATTGAAGCAGTTTATGTGTCACTGCAGTGGTGCGTATCCATCTAATCTGATAGTTAATCTCAATCTGTGTACACACTTGCAGCATATTTTATGCCTAACTGATTAACAATCAAGTTTTTCAACATATAGATCTGTTGGAGAAAATAACTTAAAGTACGTTTGTGCATCAAGAATAAATTATTCAGTCGTACTCCCTAAATGTGACGTTAATTAAATGTTAGTAAAACTACAAGACAATCTGACCTCCAGGTTTTACTCCAACACCTAAAAAAGAACAGACTGAAATTAGCTCACGACCTTAAATCGTGACTTTTCATTAGGAGTTACATTTTCTCCTTGTTTTTAAAAACAAATATAAAATATATATAAAAAAGAAAGACAAACGGTAAAAACATAAATGACTTACTTTTAAGAGGCAGCGCTCGGCCGTAGGCCACGTTCTGTGGTGCAACGCCTGAAACAAAAAGAACATTTTTTAACGATTTGGAAATAAAACAGATTCATCAAAAGATTAAAAATATTTGGAGGAATTCAGATTCAGCATTTACACGTGTTTTCCTGATGTTGTCCGTAATTAAAATACTTCTGCGTACTTTACATCATTATACTTTTCATACATCAAAACCTTCGGCTCATCTTCAGGAGGCTTTTGTTTTTTGTAACTTTAGACTTTTTAAATATTTAACTTTTTATATTTAAATATTTCCCCCATTGAAAAACACAGAAATCTCAATTGTTACAAAAACATTCTTCTATTTGAAATTTGCTTCAGAGAGTTTCTTCCAATTGTTTCTTCTTATGCTACTTTTAGCCTCTAACTAGCCTTTAGCTACCTTAGCTTTCAGTCAGCATTTTTTACCTTTATCTAACATTTAGATAGTCTCAGCCATTTTCTTGCTACTTTTAGTTAATCTTTTACAGTTTTAGCAATTGTTTTACTACATTTAGCTAGCCTTATGCTACTTTTAGCTAGCCTTATGCTACTTTTAGCCTCTAACTAGCCTTTAGCTACCTTAGCTTTCAGTCAGCATTTTTTTTACCTTTATCTAACAGATAGTTTCAGCCATTTTCTTTCTACTTTTAGTAAATCTTTTACAGTTTTAGCAATTGTTTTACTACATTTAGCTAGCCTTATGCTACTTTTAGCTAGCCTTATGCTACGGTTAACTTGTCATTTGCTAGTATTTTACTAACTTACCTAGCATAATATTACTATTTTTTAAATAGCTTTTTGCTTGTTTTTGCTTTCAGCTAGATGTAAAAGTGTAAAAAATATGTAAAAGCTATGTTGCTTAGCATTTGGCTACTTTTTGCTAGCCTATTGGTATATTTAGCATTTAGCTATTTTTTTGCTACGTTAGCTTGTAGCTATTTTTTTCACATTTTAACTAGCATTTAGCTACTTTTGACTTTTAGCTGACTGGTACTTTAATCTTCTAGCTGTCATTTTGCTTTTAGCTAGTGTTCTGCCTTTTTTTTCAACTTTAACCACTTGGCTTCAACTTCTTCAGCAGTCATTCAGCTGTCAGCGTTGATGCAGAAATTTTAGTTTCTCTTCTTTTGTTTGAGTTAAATTCAATCAAAAGTTTATAAAATTAACATTTTGGGTGAAAAACATAAAAACTCATGTTTTGTTTCTTCGGTTGTTTTAAAAAAAAGTGTTTAAAATGTTTAACTCTCTAAATGTGCGAGATCTGGACGTCACATCGACCGACTTGTGTTTTTAGGAAACAGGAAGACAAAGCGGTCCTCTGATGGAGACGGAGGACAGACGCGTCCTCGCGCTCACGCGTCACATTTTAGCTGCTCCTGACACCTTTCGATGGCGTCCTTTGATTCGGCGAAATCAGAGAAAAAAACACAGAGACGCCCAAAGTCCAAATATTCGGTCTCACAGAGACGACATTTGACACGTGAGTGAGACCGACGATTCATCCGAGCCTCCACTTTACAATTTGGACAAACTTAAAGTTTTTATGGTTAATTTATCGTCATAAATGGGATAATTATCCTCAAAGTGATCCTATAAAAAAAACATTTTTCCACTTTAAATTTAGTTTATACCATAACTCCTTTTTAAAAACAATTATCCTAATTTAATATCAACTTTGATGTAGGTGCACTGATTTATACTTGCTTTGCATCTTTTGAGTCGTTACAAAATATACTAGAAAGAGTAAAACATAAAATTGATGCTAAAGCATGCTCAGCAGGTGCAGCAGGCCGTTAAACCAACAGCTATACGAGACATAAATACATAAAATATGCAAAGTTATTTTATTACCTATTACATGAGTAAATGCTAAAATAGAGAAGTCAACCTGAGAAATATGACAAACAGTAAAGAAGTTGAAATCTTGGTTTGTTTTCTGATCTTTATGGATAATTGGGGGTTTCTCACCTCCTTGCAGAGTTTGCTGAGCGAACCAGAGGAGCAGCGACGTCTGCAGCAGAGCTCGGAGCATCATGGCGGACAATCTGAAGGTCAGGAGCACGGAGAGACGAGAGGCTGGACCGAGTTGGACAAACAGAACCCTGGTGCTTAAAGCATCGTTGCTTCTGGGTCCTTTTATACGTTGGACGGTGTGGTTTTTTCCCTCTGACACACTCCCACCGACCAGTGAACGCACACGTCTGACTGAGCGGTGTTTCCATTAGCTGAGAATGTACATATCGCACACATATGTTCGTACAAACAGAGCGAGAGTCCGCATGTCCTTTGAAAGTTCACATCTTCTCCTAAACATACAAAAAACTGAACTTTTGTAGAACACTTCTGAGCTAATAGTTTGAAAATTTGCACATTTTGTTCAATTTCAGGAGCCAGAAACGTTCCTCACAATCCCCCCCAAGACCATTTAACAAGACACTTATATTTAAAATGTGCCAACAAATGAATGAATATAAATAAAACAATGTAAACGTACAAAAAGTTAAATTCGAACTATTCAAATCTCGTTGCTGAGGGATTTGAATGGTGAATGTAGTTTTGGAGATGAGTGTTTTTCTGGACAGGGAGGGAAGTAAACCTAAATGTTTTTGGTTTAAGATTTTCAAGTGGGTCGGAGTTACACTGCGGAGAAGAAGAGAGATGTTTATTTATTTATTGTGCTTGTCTGAGGCAGCACAGAGTGACGGGTCCTGGCGAGTGGACGGAGACATTTGATCCACCACCAGGAGCAGTGGTGGAGCCAGGGAGTGGTCAGTGGTGGCCTTGGCCCCCGTAGATTAATCTTTAGCCACCCAATCATTTGAGGAAACTATATTTTTAGGCAGTATAAAAACTAGAAAGCATAGTTTCCTCAAATGATCAAAGTAGCTGATGTACATACACAGTAAATGGCGGTGGCCATCTTGGATTTTGGCTTGGCCGCTCAATTTGTGAAAGAATACATCAAGATGCAGTCACACACCAAAATGGAGGTCGGCACGTTTGCTTATTCTTCAAGTTATCCAGCTCACAAGACGGGCAGATATATATGACGACAGCCGTCTTGGATTTTGACGAGGCAATCCAATTTTCTAAAGGAACCACGATGTAGCCACCGGGGTGGAAGCAACAAACTACAAATACTCACATTAATGTAATTAACTACTATATTTTTCACTGTATAAGTTGCATTTTTTGCATAATTTGAATGCCCTGCAACTTACAGGTCGAGGCAACATATTTATGGATTTTTCCACTTTATTAGACAAATATGGACTTGGTGCGACGTGTACGGCGGAAAATACGGTAGATTTTTTTGGGTACTTGTACTTTTATGAGTATTTCTTTCACGTGTGTAATTTCACTCATACTTAAGTACAATTTAGACCATGTAATCTACTTCGCTGCTTTTAAAATCAGAAGTCGCTACGGAGTACGGCCGCAGTTTGAATTAATATTCAAACCGTTCATCTGCATCTTTGTAGCCAATAAGGCTCTCAGATCGCGAAAGCGACAATTATGACGTAAGCAAAGGACAACTCCGTAGAGTAGAGTCATTTATGGACTGAAGATTTGAAGGAAAAGCCAAACTGTCAACAGAGAAAAGGACGAGGTAAAGGCTGAGGACGAGCGCACGTGGCCGTACCTTCAGCAAGTTTTCAGTACAATTTAAGCAGTGTAACAGTACTTGTACTTGAGTACAACTTTTCATTACTCTTTCCACCTCTGAAACCTAAAACAGAAGTCGATACCGCACTCATTCTTCAAGTTGTCGTGCTCGCAACATGGACTGAGAGACACTGTCCCGCCTTCGCTTCGCGACGAGGGACAATTAGAAAAGTGTTTGTAGTTTGTTCGAAGCGCATGTCAGTTTTTTGGTCGTGTGGAAAATTCAGATTTCCTGCTGGCCTTCTAAGACGTCCTCTTTAGGAGGCCACAGAACCGTCGCCTATCGTGCACGTCTGTTCACGCTTGGTCATGCTGACCTGTAAGTCACACTGCAGGCAAAACTGGCCCAAATCTGATTTTATTTTATTTTTTGCAAATATGCAACCCATATCAGAATTTTTGATGGGGGCTCTGACAAGTCCCACTTTCCCCAGATCTGATCCAGGTTACTTTGTTGGTTGGTCTGACGTAACAAAATGTTAAAACAGTCGCCTCTTAAGGTCTTTACATTCTCTGTACTCAACGCGTTTCTCTCCATTTTTGTTCGAAACCAACACAAAAGGCCATCACCACTCGCATTAGTGACATAGACCGGTATAAATATCTGCAGCGTGTTCCTACCATGGAACTGCAACCCAGATGCGGTTCCCTCTTTCTTCTACCTCGGACTACCTTTAGAAAAATAAAAATGGACACGGACACACTTCTTATGGATGAGCCAGATGCAGACAGACAAATGTTTAGAGGTGAACCATGGATGAAGGAGTCGTGAGTCAGACGGGGGTTGTGTTATTGTCTTCTGCTCTGTACCACCAGGGAAGACGATGTGGTGGTCCGCACATGTGACTGAAGTTTTCCTCAAGACAAGAGGCTTCTTTCACAGGTTTAATCATAATATGTGGTTTTCTGGTTTGCATTTAACGCCGCCATGCACGAGGTTAAGACATAAAGTTTGCATTAAGAAAACCCCACGAGGACATAAGAACAAAAGCCTTTCAATATGGTCTTGCACTATATACCGCCTGCACTAACTCCCTTTGTTGCCTTAAAGATCCTAACGAAAGACATTTTTCTAAATGGTTACTAAACGAAAATGCTTTAAAACGACATTTTAACTAAAGTGGCTGCCTCAATGGCTGTTTTTACACCGGTACAGTTGTTGTTCACATAAACTTTGTCTAATTGTGGAGAACCAGGCCTCACCCCAACAAACACATCCTCACACAAATATAATGATGTCATATTTACTTTGTAATTTCCTTTTTTTTCTTACCAGGATATTTGAACAGCACAAACAGATCCTTCTGAAGTGCTCTCATGTGTTTGTATAGTTTTTTTCCCCCTCCAAGATGTGAGG